CTAGAGTCTGGAGGAAGGGTGGAGAAGCTCATAGCCCAAGTTGCTTGAAGTCCAGTGTTAAGTTTCCACAGTCTGTGATGATTTGGGGTGCAATGTCATCTGCTGGTGTTGGTCCATTGTGTTTTTTGAAAACCAACGTCACTGCACCCGTTTACCAAGAAATTTTGGAGCACTTCATGCTTCCTTCTGCTGACCAGCTTTTTGAAGATGCTGATTTCATTTTCCAGCAGGATTTGGCACCTGTCCACACTGCCAAAAGCACCAAAAGTTGGTTAAATGACCATGGTGTTGGTGTGCTTGACTGGCCAGCAAACTCACCAGACCTGAACCCCATAGAGAATCTGTGGGGTATTGTCAAGAGGAAAATGAGAAACAAGAGACACAACTGATCACCTCCATGCCACGCCGAATTTAAAGCAAAAGGAGCCCCTACCAAGTATTGAGTACATGTACAGTAAATGAACATATTTTCCAGAAGGCCAACAATTCACTAGAAATGTTTTTTTTATTGGTCTTATGAAGTGTTCTAATTTGTTGAGATAGTGAATTGGTGGGTTTTTGTTAAATGTGAGCCAAAATCATCACAATTAAAAGAACCAAAGACTTAAACTACTTCAGTCTGTGTGCATTGAATTTATTTAATACACAAGTTTCACAATTTGAGTTGAATTACTGAAATAAATGAACTTTTCCACGACATTCTAATTTGACATGCACCTGTACTTCTTGTGCGCAAAAGAAAAAAAAACAATGACTTTATTCAACAATTCGTCTCCTCCACGTCACCCTAGCGCCATTTTTGAGTGTATCACATACGTAAACAACGTATGCAACGTATGTATGCGGATACGTTGTTTACGCTTTGATCTGAATGTAAACAACGTATCCGCGTACATACATTGTGAGAAGACGAATAGTTGAATAAAGTCGTTATTTTTGTTTTCTTTGCACACAAAAAGTATTCTCGTAGCTTCGTAAAATTACTGTTGAACCCCTGATGTCACATGGACTATTTTAACGATGTCCTTGCTACGTTTCTGGACCTTGATCATGTTTGGATTCTTGCTGTCTATGGAGGGTCAGAGAGCTCACGGAATTAATCAAAAATATCTTAAATTGTGTTTCGAAGATGAACGAAGGTCTTGTGGGTTTGGAACGACATGAGGGTGAGTAATTACTGACAGAATTTTCATTTTTGGGTGAACTATCTCTTTAATGTTATGGTTCCGTTCCCTTATTCTTTTCAGGCGAGTCGATCCCCATCCGCTTATTTCTCGCTGGATACGAGTTGACGCCCACCATGAGGGACATCAACAAGAAGTTCTCTGTGCGTTACTACCTGAACCTAGTCCTTATAGATGAAGAAGAACGACGATACTTCAAACAACAGGTCCGGATTCCACATATAATGTAACATTACCTGTTACTTACAAATGAGTAAAATACATTGCTGTTCATTCTCAACAGGAGATCACACTCTGGAGGAAAGGAGATATTGTGAGAAGTATGTCCCAACAGGCCACCATTGCCACCCAGAGATATGAGGGATCAAACTCTGCGTCAGCACAAGCCAAAGAGGAGAGTAACTAGACGCAAGACGCTTTGTGTTCCCTCGAGATCTCAAATGAACCTTGTTACGTCAAAATAATGTTTTAGAAGTCTCAAAGGGATCAATGCGACACGTGATTTTTGCCGAAAAAGTGAAATCATCGCTTCTTGAGATCAAAAATGAGAATTGAGCTTGTAAAAGGCAGTCCAACTATGTGTATAGATTACAAAATATTTTTTTATTTCTCTTTCCAATACTGCATACATTTCCATTATACAATAGTGACCAACAGTTTTGAAATGCCAGACACAATCTTTTAACGTGTATGCCGCTGTTTTCATGCTATATGTTTGATTTGTGCTTCATGAAGTTGTAAGGCTCAATACATTCCTCTTCTTATGCTCAAATTTTGCTTAAGTCAAGTACACTGAAAAATCGAATCTAGCTTCTGTACCTTGTCCCGTTTAATGAGCCCAAAAAGAGATTTACTGTGATCTTTTGTGTTAAATCTAGCGCTTCATGTACTCTTCATAGAGCTCTGCACAGTATTATTCTGTCATTTGGGGTATTACAAATGAAGGCCTCCATAGAAATGTCTAATAAGGGAACTACTAACTTACTTAACATGAATATTTTTATTATTGATTATTTTTTTCTTTTGATCTGGTGTATGAATAAGAATCAGCAGAATCATCGACAGCACAAGGTTCCAGCATTCTCAAGAGTGCAGTTTAATGCTGTAATAGAGAAAATCCTTCTTGTGATTGTTTGCTACTCATTTTTAAGGTGAATTTTCCATTTTTTTCATGTGTATGTCTTTGTATCATACTAAATATTTGCTTAATAGCTTATTAGCTGTTCAGGTGATGAGGTATGACTATTAACAGCCATGCAACCGTGAAAACTTATGCAAAAGGCTCATTTAATCAGCCCTATTGTAATAAAATTTACTAACCTCTGCATTCAAGATGATTTCCTTTTTTCTCCAAAATTAAAATAACCTGTGATAACTGACTTCTCATGACTGTAGAGAAATCTGGTATTATTAAGTGATCTGAAGGAGACCGAAGCACAAGCAAATATTTTATTAACAAAATTATTTAAATGTTTTAAGATTATTATTTGCTTATTTGGTATTTCGAGGTTACATGAGTATACAGTAGATTACATAAAGAAAAGACTGAATATAAAATTTAAAGTGAGAGAGAATCATAATAGGATGAGATGAAACAGACTTATATGGTGATTTTCATATTGGATCTTCATTCTCCGAACTCAGGACAAAGTCAAATTCCTCTGAAAAGAAGAAAAAAATGAGTATGAGCTAACAATTATTTTAATGAACAATTATATTAATGTTAATATTAATTATATTAACAAATATAACAAATCAAAAATAAACTGCTTTTCACAAATCCATACAGCTGAATATCTGGACTTAATTTTAAAATAATTGTAAATACTTTTAATAAATTATAAAATATATTTAATATAATATAAATTACTTTTATTTTAGCTAAAACAAAATCAGCATTTAACATTATTGTTATTTTTTAAGATTTGTTTTTTTTGTATTTATAATCACATTTTAAATCATGCTACACTACAGTACATGAAAATGAGAAGACATATTTTACTTATTTGTGTTATTAAATACAACTAACCCGCAGTGAGAGGCTGAACTGATAGTCTGGCTCTGGTGAAGAGGGTCATATCCTTTAAGGGTCCACCTTTAGCTTTGTGCTGTAAGTGATATTTCTTCAGCTCAGTCAGAGGAATGAAACGCTTGGTCATCCTTTCGAACTGAACATCCACCTATACGGAGTTAATCTACGGTCAGTTCTGAAGGCAAAAACAAAGTTATCTTTATGAATGTTATTGTGGTCTGTGTAAAGACACACCATACTCCATTTAGGGTTGTCTGCTTTGCTGGAGGGGTCATAATGTGCGTCTTTCTTGTCAAATTGTGTATGGTCCACATAAGCCTCCTTTACAATCTGTAAAAATAAATAGTTAATGAAAATCATTCTCACTATTGTTATATTTGTGGTGATCAAGCTTCTATTGTAGTGACTCCTCACCTTCATGAGGCCAGCAATACCTGGCTCTTTGCAGTTACTGTGGTAAAAGAAAGCCTGCTGGCCCACCTTCATATCTCTCATGAAATTACGTGCCTGAGGAGAAAAGTCTCAGGTCTCAGAATAAGTGAATGTTCTGCATGTGCTTCTTGATAAACATAGTCAATAACAACACAAACAATCATAGTCCACCTGATAATTCCTCACTCCATCCCAGCATCCCGTCTGATTGGGAAGGGCTTTGAGGTCCTCAATTCCAAACTGCAGTTGGAGGATGACAAGATAATATTTATAGCATCACTTCACGTTTAAGTTATTGAGATAATTAGGTTTACCTTCACCTAGTAACAACACTTAAAAATCTCCTTCAATAAAAAAAAGCTCCTGCATTATTGAACTTTTTCCTCATATGGAAGTCAGTTTCCATTACATAAGAAAAAATGTGAAACACCAAGTCATAATTATGAGATAAATGTCAAAATTATGAGGTACGAAGTCATAATTGAGATGAAAAATGACAGTTATAATTATGACATAAAATGTCAGGAATATGAGACACTAGTAATTCGTAAGTATGAGATAAGACATACTAAGTTCAAAAGCTGACATTTTGTCATAAGTGTGACATTTTATGTCATAATTTTGATTTACAGAAGCATGTTTTTTCGTCTTTTTGCAAGGAAACATACAAACAAAACAAAACAAAACAAAACAAAAAACCGTGGACACACGCACACAAAAAAGGGTTTACCTTCACATCCACTCCATTTTCAATCCGACTCTCAGGTTCAGATTTCATGAGCCAGTGGCTGTAAGATGTTTTGCATGTGTCATCATTTTTATTTTTCTCCACATCACTTTTTACTCCTGCTGACCTTTTTCTTTTGCCAGTTTTGAGCTGTGCAACATCATCAGACTCCTCACCATGTTGGGCGTCTGCATCAGCTAAAATAAGAAGCAATTAATTATTTAAAGTGAGTGGTGAATTTTAAAAAAATGATGCAACCCTTATATTAAGCAGATTACTTACTATGTTTATTAGATTTGGCGCTGCTTCTTGTTCTTTTCTTGGGTGGCATGTTTCACTGGAAATGCGAGGAAATGTTTATACAAGCCCTCGTGATAAAACAGCGCCCTGGCAGATCGCATGTGGTCTGGAGGATCTTTTCTGGATTTAGTCTGCTTTTATTTGAAACCCAACCACAGAATGTGGAGTATATTACAGTTAGAACGTTTATAATTATCAAAACTGCTTGCAAGTTAAATAAAAAAAAAATTAAAGCTGCGTTGATTCTAAGCATACATGATTCACATGAAGCTACCTGTCAAGTGCGAAGTGTTTAGAACTACATTACCCATCATCCCCTCGGTGATTGAACGCGTCACTGAATCAACATGGCGGCGGCTAGGGTGCTCGCAAGAGGTGTCCGATTGGGTTCATATAGCATCGGTAGAAGTCGCAGTTTAATATTTAACACTGTACAGGGACGAGGAATAGCAGCTTGCATTGATCGTAAGTCAAATTATTTAAAGACCGTGATAATAACAACATTGTTGGTTGAGAAATAACGACAAGCGGTCAGTCATTTAGGACTACTACTTGTATGTTTCAAATACCATGGTTTTAAATTTTAATAAAGTTGGTATAGATCTAATGTAGATTTTAATGAATGTAATCTCATATTCGATAATATGTCATTTTGGTGCAAATTTATGATAATACCTGTCGATGGCCTAATTTCTGTGGAAATGGAGTTAAGTTTGGTCCCATTGGTAAAAAGCAGTCTGTTTTTCATTTGAATCTTATTGAAGTTATACATCAACATGCCATTTTAATCTACATTTTTGTTTAGTAAACTCAGTTGTGCAGGATTGTTGAGTCAATATTTAACGCTTCATTGTACGTCAGTGTTCCTGGAGTTTGAAAGTTGACGGTTGAAAATTTGTACAGTGTATAAAGAAATGTTGTTTGATATATTTTATTATAAAATTGTACGTTTTAATAACATAATTTAATCGGGTTCGTGCAAACGCTATTGGTTGGCTTTTAATGAGCTCAACCAATCACATCTGGGGGTGTGTATCGAGCGCAGTTGATTGGCTCATATCAGACACCGTTTCCTTTGATTGGTCATTACAACAGATGCTGCTGCTAATACATACAGTGGATAAACAATATAAACTAATAGTAACAATATTAAATAATAATTAGTATATATAACTAATATATAATATATACACACACACACATATACACATTTCTGCATATCTCCACAGCCTCTATAGGACTCACAGATGAACAAAAAGAGTTTCAAAAAGTAGCATTTGACTTTGCTGCCAATGAGATGGCACCACATATGGCAGAATGGGACCTAAAGGTAACCTGCACATCTGACAATACTGCTTATTGTTTATATTTAATGGTGAAGCATTTACAAAAGTTGAGCGTCATTAATATCTTCACTTGTAGGAAATTTTCCCTGTGGAGGCCATGAGGAAAGCCGCCCAGTTGGGGTTTGGAGGGATTTACGTGAACCCTGATGTTGGGGGGTCTGGACTCTCTCGTCTGGACACCTCTATCATATTTGAGGCTTTATCCACAGGCTGTGTCAGCACTACCGCATACATCAGTATTCACAAGTGAGCCATCTCTACGCCTTATAAATATCCCTATTAGCTTACTAATAATACTTTAAAGTTGTTGCTGCATCATAATAATACATAAGGTTGGACTAAATATATTTTAAGTGGTACATGTGCTGGCATATAGTTTTCGTTCTTCATGGTTAATTAGGTTTTACATGGTGTTTACTGATTGTGTTTGAAACAGCATGTGTGCCTGGATGATAGACACATTTGGAAACAATGAGCAGAGGGAGAAATTCTGTCCTGATCTGTGCGTTATGCAGAAGTTTGCCTCATACTGTCTCACAGAACCTGGTAAGTTCAGGATCACATTTTCTGTGTTGCTTTGTGGCATATATCAGTGTTATCGTTAACCTAAAAGTATTTAATTTATAATTATTTTGTTTTATTTATTTATTTTTTATTCCCTAACCTCAGGTAGTGGGAGTGATGCCGCTTCACTTCTAACCAGCGCGAAACTCCAAGGAGATCATTATATCCTGAATGGCTCCAAGGTACCTTGAGAAATGATTGAGGCATTGACAAAAATCTCCATGCAGCATCCCAACAGTTTTTGCTGTTTCTGGTCAGGCGTTCATCAGTGGAGGTGGAGACACAGATGTTTATGTGGTGATGTGCAGGACAGGTGGGAAGGGACCTAAGGGCATCTCCTGCCTGGTGGTTGAAAAAGGAACCCCTGGACTCAGCTTTGGCAAAAAAGAGAAGAAGGTAATGAACGTCTTCGCTATACAGTAAGTTTATTATTTAGGACAGGAACACTGAGTGGTAAAGATTATCCAGCAGATGGCAGGATTGAGTTATATCATCACTGTTGTGATTTATAATCGGTGTACCAACATCTTTCAGGTAGGTTGGAACTCGCAGCCAACCCGAGCCGTGATATTTGAGGACTGCGCTGTGCCAGTGACCAACCGGCTTGGAGCAGAGGGGGAGGGCTTCAACATTGCCATGAAAGGCCTTAATGGAGGCAGAATTAATATTGGTGAATTGTTTCTTAACTTAGATTTGAAACCGTTTTTGATAACCTATCTATTTTGACAGATTTGTGTTGCGGTCATTTTAACCCAGAGAGGATTTTGAATGTTATCACATTGGACTAAAACTTACTGACTTCCTAAAAATTTGATAAGTTTGATACTTTTTGGGGATTTTTCTCTTTTTGTTGCACCTGCGTTGTTCCAGGTCCAAAATTAATGTCCTAAAAATTGCTTATAAATTTCTTGCTGATAAAATTAATTTGTTTGTTCAGTTTTTTTTGGAGCTGATTGATCGTAGGCCTCATTGATCTGAGCTTATGCACCTCAGTTTCTGAGTGAACACTGGCAAAGTTATCCACAAATAATGCTTTTTCTATCAAAAATTGAAATGCATAAGCTCAGATCAATGAAGCCTGCGATCAATCGTTTCGAAAAAGAAATACAAAAGCTGCTAATTGAAAGAAAAGGGATTTACAAGCAATTTTTTACAAGGATTTTCAGCACAGGACAAGAGTTAATGTTAATTCTTTTGAACCCACAGCTTCTTGTTCCCTTGGAGCGGCTCACGCATCTGTGCTTCTGGCCCGAGATCACATGTGTGTGCGGAAACAGTTTGGAGAAACACTATCGAACAGCCAGGTACCAGTTGAATTGTCTAGCACTGATCTGTCTAATAGGATTCAGTCAAATGTGTGTTAAATCAGAAATAGGAAGTTGTTATTGACGTCTGTGTTCAGTTCCTGCAGTTTAAGCTGGCTGAGATGGCCACTAAGCTGGTAGCTTCTCGGCTGCTGGTGCGTCAGGCGGCGGTGGCTCTGCAGGAGGGGAGACCGGAGGCGGTCTCGCTCTGCTCAATGGCCAAACTCTTCGTGACAGATGAGTGTTTTTCAGTAAGTGTATATACACATTGCTCTGTCGGATTGTGATGACATGTTTGATGTTGTTACATAAATACATCAAGGTTTTTGTGATCATCTCTTTCAGATATGTAACCAGGCCTTACAGATACATGGAGGTTATGGTTACCTAAAGGACTATGCAGTGCAGGTCTTTATTTATCTATTTATTTATTTATTTATTTATCTATTTATCTATTTATCTTTTGTATTTTTTTTTAGGTACTAATGAAGTGATGAGGATGATCATTGCAAGAAGTTTGCTCACTGAGTCATGATGCTCATAAATGGACTCCTTAACGGGACAAAACCGTTTGTGTCTTCATTGTCTAAAATGTTCATCACAGATATAGGGTTAAGTGACCGTTATATATTTATATGTCCCACATGTGACTATAGAGATAACTGCTCTTTCACACTCCAGCGTCTGTTGAGTTTGATCATGAGATGTAGACAGTATTTTATGCAGAAAGTTTGTGCCTTAAACTTGTGAATTAGTCAATCTAGATTATAGTGATTATTATAAAAGCACACTGAGGAATTTGGTTTGTTTAGAGTCAAAATACTGTCAGGTTACGAAATGTAACCTGTAAAGAAAAACACTGGCTATAACATTAAAGTGAAACATTTACAAAAGTTACTGAAACAATTTAGTTGAAATCATATAATTAAGGCTAATAAATCCTCAAATCTAACCCTTTTATGTACATATAGATATCAGATTAATTCAATATTCAGAACTTACTTTTTTATCACAGACAGCTGTCTTTGTGAGCACAGAAAATCCTATCAGTTCAAGTGTGGCTTTATATTGTTTGTCCTCATTACACAATATGTATAAATCTTACCCTCGTGTTGTTTTGAAAATGACTCTTGAGCTGTTGTGCACCCTGTAAAATAAAATATAAAAGCTGTTTGGTGAAACTTTCCACAAAGGCATTTAGGGTTTCATCTGAAAATCTGTTTTTGTACACTACCAGTCAAAAGTTTTTGAACAGTAAGATTTTTTATGTTTTTTAAAGAAGTCTCTTCTGCTCACCGAGCCTGCATTTATTTGATCCAAAGTACAGCAAAAACAGTCAAATTTAAAATATTTTTTTTAAATATTTTTTTTATTTGAATGTTTTCAAATGTAATGTATTCCTGTGATCAAAGCTAAATTTTCAGCATCATTACTCCAATCTTCAGTGTCACATGATCATTCAGAAATCATTCTAATATGCTGATTTGCTGTTCAATAAACATTTATTATTATTATTATCAATATTTAAAACAGTTGAGTACATTTTTTCAGGATTTTTTGATGAATAGAAAGATCCAAAGATCAGCATTTATCTGAAATAAAAAGCTTTTGTAACATTATACACGATACCATTCAAAAGCTTGGAGTGTATAATTTATTGAATTTTTTTGGGGAAAGAAATTATAGAAATTAATACTTTTAATTTAGCAAGGATGCTTAAAATTGATCTAAAGGGATGATAAAGAAATGTATAATTTTACAAAATATTTCTATTTTGGATAAATGCTGTTCTGAACTTTCTATTCATCGAAGAAACCTGAAAAAAAACCAACTCAGCTGTTTTCAACATAATAATAATAAATGTTTTTTGAGCAGCAAATCAGAATATTAGAATGATTTCTAAAGGATCGTGACTGGGGTAATGATGCTAAAAATTCAGCTTTGAAATCACAGGAATAAATTACATTTTTAAATATATTAAAATAGAAAGCAGTTATTTTAAATAGTAAAAATATTTCAAAATTATACTGTTTTTGCTGTACTTTGGATCAAATAAATGCAGGCTTGGTGAGCACGAGAGACTTCTTTAAAAAAAAAAAAACATTAAAAATCTTCCTGTTCAAAAACTTTGACTGGTAGCATATGTTTTGTCAACATGAGTTTATAATGTTCTTAAAGTCAATAAGAATTAAAACGCTATACATTACAAAGGTCTCAATATCTTTAATCCATCATTATAGTATCACTAAATGAAATAAGTGCAAAGGTACGCTTATAGGTACATGAAAAAAAAGTGTATATTTATTGTAAGCTCAGAAATTAAACAAGTAGAACAGATGCAGAAGAAACATCTAAACAACTGGACTGAAGTGAGACACTTTCAAGTGCGATTGGTCTTCAATACTGGACTGAAAGAGTAGCAGGTTCCCTCCGCTCTGCTGATGAGGTGCTGGATGGTTTTTCACCTGCCTTGTAGAAAAATGAATGAAAATGCTGAACATCACATCTAGTTCATAGCGGTTTAAATGCACACCTATGCTCTTTTGCATGTTTTCTGGATGTGCTTCTCCTTTTTCCATGTGTCATAGATATGACCATTACTCCAATCAACAGCGCAACGAGAAAGATTCCCAGGAACACTCCGCCAATCACAGCAGCATCTATCAATAGAACACCATGTCAAATGATTTTTTTAGTATTCAGTGATTTTAGAGCTGTGTGTGTGTTGTACTCAGGTCACTCTGAGGGTTACGCTGCACTCTGCCTGATTGAGTTCATTAGACGCTTTACATGTGTAGGTTCCAGCGAAGGTATCAGACAGGTTGTGCAACTTGAGAGAACCTGTGTGATGATCTGAAGAACAAATGAGACGGGATTTTTTATTATTGTATTGTATTTTTAAAGGTTGATATCTAGATATCTAGCAGGGTGGCTGATGACTAATGGTGATATATACATGTACAATTTACTGACAGCAAATGAGATGTACTTAAATATTTATTTTTAGCCACAAAAGAATGAAAAAAATAATTATTAATTACTATAAAACATTTTGATGCATTTGGTTATTACAAACGCAGCGTTTCGCTTAACAAGATGTTAACTGAAGGACTGGAGTGGTGTGGAATACTTGTGGATTATTGTGATGTTTTTAATCAGCTGTTTGGACTCTCATTCTGACGGCACCCATTCACTGCAGAGGATCCACTGGTGAGCATGTGATGTAATGCTACATTTCTCCAAATCTGCTCTCATGAACAAACAAACTCATAAATCTTGGATGACCTGAGGGTGAGTAAATTTGTATTTTTTGGATTTATTAAAATCATTAATGGTTTGTGTTTATATATAATCCTGTTTGGCTCTTTATAAAAGTTGAGTAAGCGAATCTGTGCCATCCGTGCACTATTTTCAGGTGCCAGATTGAGTGTTATAGCAGCAGCTGATTGTTTCCTACCTTCAACAAAACTGTCTGACGGCAGAGGGGCTGCGTTCTGCTCTCTGTGCCATGAATAGATTGGTGTTGGGTGACCCTGAGAGGAATGACATATCAGAATCACATCATTCCCCACGAAGGAGTATCCCTGCAGCCAACATTCTGGCACAGATGGAGGAGCTGATGATGGAGAGAACCATTTTAAAAGCTTGAAATAGTGTGAAATGTAAAAAAAAAATATATATATGTAAAAGTTAATACATAAATATAAATATATCACAGGAGGTTATTATATTTGGGGGTCTATGGTATCAAAAAGTTTGAAAATCCATGATCCATCTTATAGCACAGTGAGGTTGATCAGACCTTGTCCGCTGCTGGACCAGTCATTGGGGTTGGTGACCACACATATACAACCCAGTATCAGATATTTCAGCATTGATGATCCTGACAGAAGCGACGCCCGACACTGGAGGGTTCTGCACGAGAGCCATCCTTCCCTCCCAAGAGTTCACCCAGTACAGCCTCCCATTGTAGTACAGCACCTGTGTCAAACAGGACATTGAGATCAGATGTGGTGGTTTATTGTAACTGACTCTAAATACAGGAGTCCTCACCCTCTTGGCTTGGATGGCAGGAGTTCCTGGAACGGCATAATGCCACTCCAGGGTAAAGCCCTCTGAGGCATGTGTGTCATACATGCAGGTCAGCTCAGCCGATGACCCCGACCGGACAAACACAAAGGGCTTCACCACAACTGCCTGAACATCTGTACAAAGAGAACCACTCTATACCTCGTGACAGTAAAGGCATTTAGAATGTTACAAAAGATTTCAATTTTTAAACAAATGTTGTTCTTTTAAAGTTTCAGAAAAACAAGAGTCCTGAAAAAAAAACGTGTCAGTTTCCACAAAAATATTAAGCAGCACAACTGTTTTCAACTGTTTCATTGATAATCATTAGAGTGATTTCTGAAGGATCATGTGACACTGAAGACTGGAGTAATGACTGCTGAAAATTCAGTTTTGTCATCACAGGAATAAATTACATTTTCAAATATAATAAAACAGAAAACATTAGTCATTTTAAATGGTAATTATATTTCACAGTATTACCCTTTCTACTGTAGTTTTGATCAAATAACTGCACCCCTGGTGAGCAAGACTTCCAAAAGCATTAAAAAAAACTTTTGAACAGTAGGGTAATATTTATTATATTAGTAAATCTATATTTACTCATATATTTATGAAACAGAATTTTCTATTAACTAATTATAAACCATTTCAAATTAATGTTTAATAAAAAGAGTGAAGGAATTACTCACCGAAGTACTGGAACAAAATGCTGGTTGTGAGGACAATGTGACCATATGCCATTATGCGTCTAATATTTAGTTGTCCTTGCACTGAGATAAAGAACAGATCATAAATGGTCGGCTCTGACTAACAGAAAGCACAACGTCCAGAATGTGCTTGCAAAAAGGGGAGGCAGGTGTGACTAAACACTTCTTATTGTTCTTCACTAAAGCACCTTTTTCTTTAAATTGTTTTTAAAAAATGTAGTGGAGAAAGTCTTGCATAAATATTCGGAGTTCGGAGTTCCAGAAGACAAAATAAGACTTTATTGGAAGAAACCACAAAGCCGAGATGCCTGCAGAACAAATTACCAACTCACACTTTTATATGGTTTTTAACCTCTAATCTTATTGTAGGAGTACTCTCCCCAAAACTCCCTAACTCTGTTCCAAAGGATCTCCTCATTACGTGGTTACATTGGTCTACCTTGTAAGAGTGGCAGACTGCCAAATAGCCTGCATCAATAACAAAGTGATTATTCAGTGTATTTTCTCATTATTTTTATCAGAAGACCATGTTTGAAAGACATGTGGCCTAGAAGAGTAACTTAGTATCAATTCAAATGCCAACTTCAGCCAAAATCTCATTCTCATGATACCAACAAGAAAAAACTGTATTTCTGTTATGGCCATAGTAGAAATCGGGGGCTCGTCCGGGATCTCAAACTGTGAACTCCTGTAGACGAAGTAAAAAAAAGAGAAATGTGGCAGCAAAAATAAAGTGTCTGGTTCTAATATTTAATATATTTTTGTTAATAAAATGTGTTTAATGCCAGGTCAATCAAATGCCACATTAAAGAGATGTGCTAGTTTAACTCTTTAAAAAATGTTTTACAATGCATTTTTGCAATTTTGCATTGTTTAATAAGCAGAACATTATGGTAAGTAATCAAAACAAGCACCACCACTTAAACACTTGAACCTCACTGAGGCATTTTCCACTTTGAACCCGTTTCCTACATCTCTGCTTCCATCATGTAGACAGTTACTGTATAATGCTTTCAATTCCATATAATGCCAATTTGAAAATAACAAAATAAGTGGAAAAGGCTTAATTACAGAGTAAACAATATCTTCAACCAGAATATTCACAATAACATTCAGCATTAACACTATTATCAAAAAAACATTGCTTCCAATATTCAAGTCATTAAACCACAAGGCTAGTTTATCGTAAATTTTCATGAACACGCTAATGAATAAATGGACACTTCCATGTAACTTACATGATCACATGTTTTACAAATTAAGAGTCCTTCCTGCTCCAGTAAACAAGCATGGCAGACACTGGCATTTGTTTGTTTTATGCTCTACATCATAAGACAGCATTTTCACAGGCTCTCATTTTATTTTCTACTTTACAGTCTTCCCTTTTCTCTCTAAATTTCTTAACTCGTCTGAATGGTCAGAAAATATTACATTTGAAATAAAACCTGCTCTGCTTCAGAAATCTGTCAACCGCTTGACAGAAAAAGCGAAAACTCCTGAGAGAAACGGAGGCACAAGAGGCACAAGAACGCTCAAGATTATTGTCATAAATTTAACTGAATGTCTAAATAACTGGACAAATCTGAATCCATAAACACAACTGTTACAAAAAGTGGACATCTGCATCCCATCATAATGTATAACTCACTGACAAAATACTGTTCTCGGTCAGTGAAACGGTTCTAAAAGATGACAAAAAGAACTTCACAGAGTGTTTAGGCATCAAAACACAGATTAAGCTCATTAAAAAACATGTAATACTTTAGAAAACAAATCAAAGGTGTTTTTTCGACATGTAACTATATTTTACTGTACTTTACTCTGTATAAAAAGTTAGCCAAATTTATCGTCACATTTGTCGAAACCCTTCTCCACATACGTTTGGCTAGTCGTTAGCACATTGTTAGTCTTGAAGGCCGTTACACCAGTGACCCGGCGTGGTTCTGGGTGGGCACCATGATGGGCACGGCCCCCATGCGGGACAGGGTGGCAGAGTTTATAGGCATGTTGAGTGGGCGTGGGGTCTGCGGCTGCGGCCCCTCAGTCCTCTGTGTGGAGCAGCTGTTGGGATTGAGGACTGCGGGAGTGTGATGGCGATCATGGTGGTGATGATGACGGTGTGTGTGATTTGCTGTGCCGCTGGCGTTGTATCCGGGCAGGCCGTGTAGTGGGTTGGGCTCCCCTGGGCAGAGGCGGTATGTGGTTGTGCTTCCAGAGGTGGTGAGGATGGAGGCGGTGTCCGAGGCACCAGGGGGGTATGGGTAATGGTTGTTTTGGAGTGGATGCTGAGGCTCCTGTGCAGGAGGGCTGGTGGCTATTGAGGACAATGTGCCATTCTTTGATACGATGTCCGATCCTGTGCCGCTTTTAGCCCAGGAGACGCGTTTCGGTGCCTGTGCATCTTCCCTTAAAGCAATAGAAAGCACATACTGTAATACAAACATCTAATCTGTAGCATTATGGATGAAGTGCAAAAATCAAGTACAGATATTCAGTGTTGGGAAGGTTACTTTGGAAAGGTTACCCTACTTAAAATGTAATAAGTTGTGTAACTATTTCAATTACTTTATTCAAGTAATGTAACTGATTACATTTGATTACTTTTTGATTACCTTTCTAAATTTCTAACGAATGTTTTCAATTGTTAATCATTTTCAGACATTTAAATCAGGCAGGTTAACCTTACCCTAGTAAAAAGTAATATATTTAAAATGTATTTATTTCATACTTAGTTCAAATCTGTTAACATATTTACTGACATATTGCTCGAGACTTACTGATATAAAAATAATTCAACTGTATTTGGACTACTACTTGTGCACAATGTACATTTCTTAAAATTAAGCCTAAAATGTGTTTTAATGCCACTATTGATGTGGATTGTATGATCTTTGAATAATATCGGTCTTTAAATGCAAGATATTTAAAGTGTACCTGAAGCACAATAGTTCCACTGCAGCGCAATCAAACATACTTAAGTATATCTTTAGTTGTACTGTAGCACTATTTATGCACAATTAAAGTGCATTTAGTACAAAATTAGTTGTTCCAATTTAGCAGACATTAAGTAGGCCTATATCAGTTTAGTATACTAAAAGTACAATTGCAGGATTTTTTTTTATTAAGTACATATATATGTAAATGTATTTGTAGTATACTTAGCATGTAATAAATTTATTTCAAATACTTTTTTAGTATATTTCTTTTCACTAGGGTACAGTATGACTCAACAATGAATACTGTCAGACTTTCAAAATCCTTCATCACTTGAATTAAAATTACAATAATTTAATTTTAAAACACAGCTACCACAAAAACTGAATTGAGCACCTCTTTTACTTTGAGATCGTTCTGAGGTTAAAGGGTTAGTTCACCCAAAAATGAAAATTAGGCTGCGTTTCACTCACCCCCGAGGCATCCTAGGTGTATATGACTTTCTTCTTTCAGACGAATCCAGTCGGAGTTATATTAAAAATTGTCTTTGATCTTTCAAGCTGTTTAATGCCACTCAGCGGGTGTTGCATTGCTTCAGTCCAAAAGAACTTAAATAAAAATCGCCCATCCATAAAAAAAAAGTGTCTCACACGGCTCCAGGGGGTGAACAAAGGCCTTCTGTAGCGAATCGATGCGTTTTTGTAAGAAAAATATCCATATTCAAAACGTAATAATCACTTTAATGTAGCTTGCGCCAACAGTTCTTCTGTTTCTTCTGAAGACATTCTTCTTTACAAATCCTCGTTTTGTACTTCTAATTCTTGACCGTTGTTTTGTTTTGATTAGGGCTGCACGATAAATCGCATGCGATATTTAACGTATATTATTACTTTTGTAATGCGTTTCTCCCAACACTGCTCATACGTCATTCCCCCGGAACTGCTTCTGTTTACAACAGTGAACGCAAGCTAGATTCAAGTGATCATTACGTTTTGTATATGGATATTTTTCTTACAAAAACACATCGATTCGCTACAGAAGGCCTTTGTTCACCCCCTCCCGAGTTGAAAGAAGAAAGTCATATACACCTAGGATGCCTCGGGGGTGAGTAAAACGCAGTCTAATTTTCATTTTTGGGTGAACTAACCCTTTAAGTACAGATTTAAAATCATAACAAGAAATAGTAAATATTAATACAATAAGTATTCAGATGTAACCCCCTTCATAATCATTAACATTTTCATAAGTAACTGTAATTTAATTACACATTTTTCTTAGTAACCGTTACAGATTACAGTTACATTTATTTTGTAATCAAATTACACAATGCCATTACAAGTAAATAGTTACTCCCCAACACTGCAGATATCCTAATACAATATTAGAAATATAAGACACATGCTCACTTGATATCATTGGCCATCTCCTCTTCTGTGTCATGGTTTCTCCTCAGGATGAAGATCAGGAATAAAACTAGAGCCATCAGACCCACCACGGAGCCCACTGTGGCCCCGGCGATCACCCAGGCATTGTTAGCTGCGGCCACAAGAGGAACAGTGAGTGCTGAAATCTACAATATAGAATGTTGCATCAATCTGTTTGAAAGATACTTACGGGTGGAGACCTCTAGATTGATGTGGCAGCTGTCAGTCCCAGCCGTGTTGCTGGCGCGGCAAACATACTTGCCGGACATGCTTTTGGTGAGGTTGCTAAGTCGAAGGGTGCCCTGCCTCTCATCTGAAAATAGAACCAAACATTCATAACATCATAATTGAACATCAAATGCATTTTCAATAGAGTTCACCTCTTTGTATCTATCTTTCAGCTGTTGTGACCTATTGTAGCATGTGACTGCTTATTCTACTTTTATGGGTGTTTATTCAATTACAGGCAATTTTGGTCCGGAGGACTTTTAGAAATTAAAATTTCCTTAAAAATACCTTTCCCACTCTCACCAGTTCAGTTTGTTCACTAACATTATTAAACTGTATACACCAACATTCAAGAGTATGGGGTCAGTAAGAAATTTTTTTTTTTAAAGAAGCCTCTTATATTCACTAAGGTATTTACACAATAAATACAGTAATATTGTGAAATATTATTACAATTTATTATTTTATTACTATTTTAATATATTTAAAATGTAATTTATTCCTCTAATGGCAAAGTTGGATATTCAGCAGCAATTACTCCTGTCTTTACTGTAAATATCATAATTGATAACTGTTTTATTTACTATTTCAGGTTATGTATGCTTTATTTTTTAGGACTGACTGTTTTTTTCCCAAGGCATTGTTATAGATGCCAGTGTTTCCTGTCATAGCTATGCAAAGATTTGATTTCAAAAACCGTATCATAGCTATTAACTTATTCTTGTTATGATTTTAAATCTGTATTTAACCTCAGAACAATCTCAAAGTAAAAAAGAGGTGCTAAAGTCTGATTTTGTGGTGGCTGTGTGCTATAAAGTTAAATTATTACATTTTTTGAAAATTTTATATTTTTGGATTTTGAAAGTGTGACAGTAATCAGTGTTGAGTATTACTGTAAAAGTAACCCTGCCTGGTTTAAATGTCTGAAAATGATTAACAGTTGAAAACATTCTTTAGAAATTTCGAAAAGTAATCAAAAAGTATTCAAATGTAATCAGTTACATTACTTTAATAAAGTAATTGAAATAGTTATACTACTTATTACATTTGAAATAGGGTAACTTGTAATCTGTAACCTATTACATTTCCAAAGTAACCTTCCCAACACTGCATGTACAATATGGGAGAAAATAATAAAATAATAAAAATGTCCACCAGTTTGATAATAAACGAGCACACTAACTTTATTAAAAAGGGGCAAATTAGTTTGGTTTGTGGAAATGATGCGAGACAGCTATAATTTGTGGAAAATTTAAATTTCATTCATATTTTAAGATTAAAGGGTAAAACGATAAAAATCTCATGTGTACATAAAATGCATTTAAAAAATAGCAAAGGTAAATGATGAAGGCATGATAAAACGTTTCCAAAACTGTTTTTTAAGTGACCTTCATATAAGAAAAAGCTAATAATCTTGTAGTCTAAGTAAAAAGAATAAAAAACATTTTGGCCATAAAAGTGCACACAGTTGAAGAAACACCCTTATATGAAATATGTTGACATAGGCAGTAAATAAGAGTGTAATCCTTTGAAATCCCTATTTATGAGAGCACTTTGTCATGATGACTGACACAAATATGAGACATATGTGTTAACGACTTGGCTACAGTTATGTTGACAATACTACGCCTATTTTCACTGCATGATGCTGGCAAGAAGGATGAGAAGTTAAAACCATCAAGACAGAGAACAAACATTACATTTCTGCCATTATTACAGTGTTGGCAGAGATTGCAGTCGACCATCTGCTGCTGTAGCTTCTGTCCACACACTGATTGGCCTGCAGTGATGAGCAGCCAAACTCAAATTCCTCAGTGACCCAGAGCCGAGGCCAGGCACCCAGGGACCCCAGTCTGGGCTTTCCAGATTTCACAGGCACTTTTATACTACTGAGGTGTCTTCATAAAATCAACACTTCATTGGTCAGTTCATAAAAACCTTCAGTTTGTATTGCTTCTGCATTGAATAAACTACGAGACACAGGTCTGATTTTAGCTCTCTAACAAGACACACAAATACAGTAGTACAGCACCACACGATTCATAATTTCAACAATGGGAGGGAACAAAAAAGATGAAAGGGGTAGGATGATGTTTGATATGCTTTTAGACTGATATGCTTGGGATATTGAATCACTCTAATCTCTAATGACACACATTGATACAAATGGCTGATTGCTAAAAATGCTTATCAAGCTTTAAGCTTTTTTGTTGTTTTTGTCCTTTTTGCCATTTTTTGTTGACAGGGGTTTTGTGCAGATTGTAAACCTCTCTCTGTGAAGGTTAGAGGTTCTGTGGGACTCAAAATAGTGTGTCTTCATAAAATCAACACTTCATTGGTCAGTTCATAAAAACCTTCAGTTTGTATTGCTTCTGCATTGAATAAACTACGAGACACAGGTCTGATTTTAGCTCTCTAACAAGACACACAAATACAGTAGTACAGCACCACACGATTCATAATTTCAACAATGGGAGGGAACAAAAAAGATGAAAGGGGTAGGATGATGTTTGATATGCTTTTAGACTGATATGCTTGGGATATTGAATCACTCTAATCTCTAATGACACACATTGATACAAATGGCTGATTGCTAAAAATGCTTATCAAGCTTTAAGCTTTTTTGTTGTTTTTGTCCTTTTTGCAATTTTTTGTTGACAGGGGTTTTGTGCAGATTGTAAACCTCTCTCTGTGAAGGTTAGAGGCTCTGTGGGACTCAAAATAGTGTGTGAACTTTGCATGTTTTTCACAGAATGATGATCCACCACTGTCATGACCTGAGGAGACGAGGAATGATATGAAGAACACGATGGGTGAGATCGGGAAATAACCCTAGATTCAAACCCGGCTAGGCCACATTTCAAACATATTTCTATGTATTCATATGGTACAATATTTTAACAATGATGTTACAAAGACTATCTTTAAAGACTCAGGATTTTATGTGGCACCAGTCAACTTTGACTTAAAATAACACCTCAAAAAGATGTTTTTGATCAACAGCATTGTATTCACAGTCAGCCATTTATTTATTCTTACTTCAAGTAAAAATGTCCCATTCCAAGGGGCTTACAGAGTTTTAAACATTTCTTACTTTATGTGTAAAACTGCTTTAAAAAATACAGTGTAACTTTAGAAAATAATTGCACAACCTTTCAAAAGTTTGGGGTCACTAAGATTAAAAAAATAAGTCTCATATGCTCACCAAAGCTGTGTTTATTTGCTCAAAAATACAGTAAAAACACTAATATTGTGAAATATTATTACAACTTAAAATAAATATTTTTTTGAAACCATGATGGACCTCTGGACTCTGGACCATGATGACCTCTTGGACTCTTAGATGAATAGAAAACAGCATTTATTTGGAATAGAAACCTTCTGTAACATTATAAATGTCTTTACTGTCACTTTTGCACAAATTATCGCATCTCTGCTGAATAAAAGTATTCATGTCTTTCAAAAAAAGTCTTACTGACCTCAAACTTTTAAGTGATAGTAGCTTTATCATTCTTGTACTGACATGTACAAGCAAACAAGGGTTGAGGAATAAACTAAGCAAGACTGTAAGAGTGAACCGCACATTTACTGAGTCTATCTAAAGAAGTTTTCTCTATCCGAGGGTCTATTCCCTTACCCAGGTATCCCAGCACAAGCACAGGCTGGGGGCAGGACCTCCACTCTGTGAATGCGCAGATGAGAGTGACACAGAGAGGGCGAGAGGAAGACAGATGACCAGGAGAACATGATTGGTTTGTCTTTCCTGAGGGAAGAATTACTGAGCACCTCGCCTCCCTCAGGACTCTCATGTCAGGAGAGAAACTGGGAGACCCACGTGCATGGGATCAAGGAGGAAATTTGCTGCATGGTTGATAAGTATAAGCCAGCTTTGGTGAACAGCTGGCACAGCCGTGTATTTCGACTAAACAAATTTCGAACATGTCAACAGAAACCATCGTGATACATTTGGGAAAAATTGTATTGGATACTAATGCACATCTTCCATTTCTGTAACTGTAATATGTCATGCTTTCTTTATCGTTTGATATGGACTTTAGAGAACATGCCAGTAGACATGTAAGATGTTCCTGGCACTCAGTCAAGGTCAAACCTGTCGTGTTTAAAGGCAGATGGGAATGTGTCTCTCTGGCTGATCTGAGGGTAACGGAGCTATTTCCGCCTCTCCTCAGGCCAAAGAGGGAGACACACTAAATTAGTGATAAATGATGCCTGTACTCCTTCTCTCTACACAGCATCTAACCAATTTCATCCCGATAATAAACAGATCGAGAACAGAGAAACGCCTCTTAAAATGATACAACAATAACAAAGATAAAACCTATTTAACAGTCATACACTACCATTCAAAAGTTGGGGATCTGTACGATTTAAAAAAACAAAAAAAACTCTTGTTTATTTGAGTAAAAATCATAATATTGGAAAATATTATTACCATTTAAAATGACTGTATTTTTGAATATATTTTAAAATGTAAGTCATTCCTGCAAAGCAAAGCTGAATTTTCAGTATCATTACATCCTTCAAAAATCATTCAAATATGCTCAAGAACAATTTGGTTATTTGCTGTTGAAAACAGCTGTGCTGCATAATATTTGTGTTTAAACTGTGATACATTTTTCTTGCTATATAAAAACATTCATTTATTACAATATTATACTGTTAATGTATTTTAGTAAGATTTATCAATAGAGCTATTTTGTTTTAAGCCTTAAAACACACAGCATTTTTGGGTCAATAGGTTCCCTAGGAATTTTGAATGGGTTTTTAAAATAGCATTTTTTGAGTAAAATAAGCATTGTGGTTGACATTATTTCAAGAGACTACAACATAAATTACAGTCAAACAACATGAATTTTAAAACTGGTTTAAAGTTGTTAACAAGTAGCAACATCAAGTCTAAAACCGATTTTTCCAGCACGCAAATTCCCAAAATCTCAAAGGAAATTCCTGGGGGAAGGCATGGTAAATTAGCCTTCCAGGTTGGTCTACAAATGGACATCATAACAGAACAACTCTATAATCATATTCTAATTCATTTTCTATCTAGTTATTTTGTGCTACAGGTAAAAGCAATTAAAAAAGAAAGAAAAAAGAAGCACTAATACTGTACATGTATGTACAGAAGGAAGAACCTGATTGTTGATAAATCTGTTAATGCCGCATATAGCAAATAATACTTGTTGATGACAGGATGACCTTGAGTTAACAATTTTAATTCTTTAGTCTATTCTAGTGCTGTCAAATGATTAATCGCGATTAATCGCATCCAAAATAAACGTTTTTGTTTACGAAATATATGTATGTGTGCTGTGTATATTTATTATGTATATATAAATACACACACATGCATGTATATACTTCAGAAAAATAGGTTATGTTTATATATTAAATATATTTATTTATAATATAAATTATATGAATATAAATATAGACATGTAAATACATGTAAATATTTTCAAAATATATACTGTATGTGTGTGTAATTATATATACATAATAAATATACACAGAACACACACATATATTATGCATACAAAAACTTTAATTTTGTATGCGATTAATCGCGATTAATCGTTTGACAGCACTAGTCTATTCATTTAACAGCCAATGTTCAATTGTATTATTGACATACAATTATGCTATTTGAGCACTTTTTATAGTCTGAATGTCTTTTGCCAGTTTATCTCTTTAAGTTTTTTTGTTTGTTTGTTTGTTTTAAGAAATGAATACTTTCATTCAGAATCTAAAGTGACAATAAAGACATTTGTAATATTACAAAAAGATTTCTTTTTCAAATAAATGCTGTTCTGTTGAACTTTGCGGTCATCAAAGGTTTCCACAAATATATTGAGCAGCACAAAATATTCAGCATTGATAATAATAAGATATGTTTCTTGAGCATCAAATCAGCATATTAAAATTTTATTTCTGAAGGATCATGTGACACTGAAGACTGGCGTAATGATGCTGAAGAATCAGCTTTGCCATCACAGGAATAAATGGCATTTTAAAATATATTTATTTTAAATTGCAATAATATATCACAATATTATTGTTTTACTATATCTACAGTAAAATGAAAAAGATCTCAGATCCCTAACTTTTGAATGGTAATGCACCATTTAAATGAACCCCATTTTAACCAGTCAGAATATATCAATCCATACAGCAAATTAAACAAAATTGTACCTTTCGGTATCATTAGTGTATGAAAGATAAAATCAAAAATTAAGTTAATGCATCCACAAAAGCTCCTGAATTTTTCTCAGACAAAGAAAGAGAATCAAACAATTGCAAACATACAGATGCAGGAGACTCACTTTGCATGGGAGAGAAGAAGACCTCAGAAAGAGGAGCTGCTTTGGTCCATTTGTACTGAGGAACAGGTTTGCCATAGCTGGATTTACAGCTCAGTGTTACATTGCCACTCAGTACAGGATTTCCTGTCATAGAGCACACAGGTGTGGATGGAGGAACTACAACGAACAGAAAAAGAAGCCATGAGACAAACAGTTAAATGCCCCAAATATGTGAATATAGCCACATTTTGCCAATGTACCTTTAACATTGAGGTGTAGCTCTCCAGACAGGCCTGGAGCTCCAGGAATGATGACGTGGCAGTGATAACGCCCGGAGTCAGACTCCTGCGTGTTATTGATGTAGATGGACAGATTGGCAGAGGGCATCGTCATGGCAAAACCCACCCGCCTCCGAAAGTCAGTGCTACCGATGCCAATCTGTCCTGAGAAGTAGGAGATGACCTGCAGTCAAAAACACATAGAGACCTTAACACACAACTGGACATGTGCAGTACCCAGTACGATAATAATGGAGGTAAACTGTCATACTAAAGATAATCCTCTGAAGCAAATGCAGATGGTCAAGTTCATATATTAGGCTGATTTCCATTTATTTATGATAAGCTAGCAGGCAAAAGGAAACTAGTGGAACTACAGATTATGATAAGCAGCACAAATATCATTCATACACATTTTGCATGTGATAGCTGGCTCGCGCATACGGTATAACCTGACACATTATCATGCCTCAGGGTGTATTAGCTGACATTGACATCTCAATCTAAAACCCTCAGCGATAACGGTTTGAGTTAATCCACTTCTCGCCCATTTTTCAAATTCATCACGTGTATTTTCATAAGCAGTCTTTGACCTTTCAAGTGTTCCATACACTGTAAGAAACGGACTGTGAAATTCACAGTAATTAACTGGCAGCAAGTGACAAGTAACTTACTGTA